AATAAAAATCCTACTGAATAGGGCTTTCCTCCCCTTTCTTCACACATATGCAACAAAGTCTTTCCTTTAATTAACACTTTCCTCAACATAAAAAAAGCACCAAAAAAACAAACAAACACCATTCACTTACCTTGAAACAGATGCTCATCTTGGGGGTTAAAGGATAACACTTTACACTGACACTTAAGTTTTAATAATCTAAAAGAAAAGGGCCCACTGGAACCGGTCAACAAACAATTCCAATTCACCAAGATAATGTGTGCACTGAACTTCAAAAACAGGCATTTCTAGCACTTTTAGGACACCACTTTTATTCTGAGACTACAAAATGGAGGGATTCCACAAATGGAAAGACAAACCAAGGTCTAGAATCCTGCTACCCAATGTCAAAGAAAAATGACAAGACAGAATACTAAAAGAGAAAAGACTTAACAGAACCTTTAAGACAGTAGACAGATCTAGCCTATCTTCGAGGTGCTCAGCAAGGTTTGGGACTGATGTAAGGGATTACAACCAAAAGGAACCAGAACTTTTTTCCTTTCAAAATTTGTTTCTCTCTTTCAAAATTGGCCAAATCAGGTTTTGAAATGCAATTGCTTTGGAAATTTTGTCTCATCTACTGGCATTACTTTTTTTTTCTTCCAAAAAATTTTGTTTCACCACAGCACCAAAATCAAAAGGGCTCTTTATCCTCAATATATAGGTGCTCTTGTTTCATTGAATGCATGGTTACAAAAAACTATTGCAATGAACATAAAGATACTAAATGATGACAAAATATGTACTGCAAGATTCATGTACTTTAAAAAATAACCAAGTAGACAAGCAAATTTTATTTTTATCAGCTTCATGGAATATTTTTCAAGGTGGACTTTACCATTTACACAGCAAATTTCAAAAGTTGACCATGAATATTGCAATACAAGCATCCATGAATGTACTGAAGGCAGTATGTAATTTATAATCAATCAAAAGCTTTCTTTTTAATTAACAATTTAGCAACTTAATGTGTTGACTGTTGGAATATTATTATGATGAGTCATTGAACATGATGTATTTGAAAAGAGTATTCACCTAGTACCCTCGACTCCATATAATTCAATAAGTGTTTGCCAATTAATGGGAACTGATCTAAACTACGATATGACAACTTTTAACTAGCCCCAAAGGCAATATAGATTTAACTGACTGTTTTAAACAGACACAACATCAAGCATTATGGAGAACTGTGCATATGACCAATGATTTCTCAGCACTAAGAATTTCAGTAGAATGCCAAACTATTTTAAATAATGTTATGAGAAAATTTTGACTACCATAGCAGTCTTGCTTGTCTGAAAACGTGTTTGCAAAGAGTGGCATGTCTATTGTCCCCAACTAAGCTAAATTCATGATAATTAACAACTTGAGCTCAATACTAAAAGCAGACATCCAGGTGAAAAGGGATACATTTATATCAAATTTTGTCTTCTTTATGTCCTTTTTGGGCAAACACCCAGCAAAACAAAACATTTGATGGAGACATTATCTAACGGAAGTCGAGCGTACTTAAATGATTTATTTCCTTCAAGGACTAAAGCAATCTTATGATCTATGATTACTAAAACATCTGGTCAATACATAACAGGTGCAGCACCTGAACCTAGAAGAACTTACGTATATATACAATAATTAACTTATTCAATGCATGAAATATAACAACTATTCCAACAAAATTATACATACAAACAGAAAAGGAGAGTGCTGTATTTATCCTTGGAGAAGGATATCTAACCCACAAAAGTTCTACTCCAAGAAGTCAATGTCATAAAGGACCACCAAAATTGTTTTTATGCTATAGAATGTTTTTAGGGGTTGTTATTTTTTTCAGTAAACAAATTAGCGCTTAACCATTCTCTGGTTACATATAATCACGAACTTTCCTCTCCTTTCCAAATTTTATCTTTCTTCAAAACCATACAAACAAATTCAGCACATTATTAAATCTTACACATCTTAAATATTTCTTATACATTAGTAGCCACACAGGTTCTGATCATATCTGCCGCTAGGCAAAACTTGAAATTAATTCACTCACAGACGATAGATATTGTGACATGAGACTGAAAGTCAAAACCAACTGATACTCAGCATTTAGCCTACATCGTAAGACCTTATAAGTTTACACTTGAAACTTACACTCCAATCCACAGCTTGCGATAATTTTTACCGCTTTGTAAGAAACAAAAAATATGGCTATTTTCTATTACGCACAATCCAAAACAAACAGAACAAGAAAGTTCAGAAGGTCCTTTAAGTATGGCATCTCTTGGTAATCTCATTCAAGGGATACTGGAAGGCCAGAAAACTCAACCTAATATTTCTACTTCAAATGGTACTGAGACCGAAACACAGGTAAAAAACCATTATTTTAAAGTGGGTTTAAATAAATATTGCAACAGCCAGTGAGGATTTTTTCCCCATAAATAACATGAACCTGTTGTGTTACAGGACCTACAAGAAGTCGGGAGTACACACATTTTTTTTCATTGTACAGCAGTCTCCTTTTCCCTCCATAAATTCATAATCATGCATGCACAACATGTCCTCTTAAATTAACTTTGCCTACACTTCCATGCTTGAAACAAGAGCATCTATAAAATATGTAATTAAGTTATCCTTTAAAAATATTTTAACTTAAGACATAAAAAATATTATGACAAACCACATTTCTTTGTTTTGATATTTCAAGGAGGCGATTCAATCCTTTTCTAGGGAAAATAAGTTGGAAGTATCCATTTGGGTTTCGTGTTCACAAGAACAGTAAACGCACTAAGACCATATACTGTTACTTTTATAATAGGATAGAAACAGCAATTAAAATAAAGACTCCTAATTAGTTGAGCTGAAAACTAGTGAGCCAACACAATATCTCACAAGTGACAATTCCTCGAGAAGTAATCAGGACAATTGTACACAGAAAAAAACTTAGAGAAGTAGAACCAACCAGAAACCCCACAAACACCTGTGACCCTCATTATCAACATTATTATGCTCACCATGTATCGAAACCACAACCAAGTATTTGAGATGAGACCGATTTGAGAAAAGACATTTGTGTCACGACGCAGTGGAATCAGGCGCTCGTCAATTTTTGTGCTTGTAGAGTTATTGGTATCATCTTAAAGCTTGCTCATTTATCTTGCTTTTGATGAAAAGAAATACCCATCTATCTTGAACAGAAATGAAGATATTTGTTATTGAAAGAGGTAAGTTCACTTGGTTTGAGCGGCAAAAATAGCGAGAAAATGGCTGCCACAAGTTTGGCAACTTCAATAGCTAAAGAGTCCTAGTAAACCGAAAAATTGCATATTTTGAGCTTTTAACTAACGTTTTACAATATAATTCACCTGGGAATGTGTTTTTATTTGGAAATTAAAGGGTTGAACAAAAAACCAAAAATTTGATTAAAATTGTCAAACTGGTGGGAAAATGCCTGTTTCTACAATTTGTTATTTCCACGAGCGCCTGATTTCACCATGATGTCTCATTGATCATAAAAGTAGAAGAGATTTCAAAAAGAAGGCTCAAAGTTCAGAGTAGAAAACAGCCAAGTGCAAGCCTCCCCCCCCCCCCCCTTCCTAAAAACTACTTCGAAAAATCAGAGGAAGACCAAAATAAAATTGATAAAAGTGGTAGAATATGTCCCAAAAATAAAACTATAGAACATTCCAAACAACTTTACTTCCAAATTATTTTCCAACAATGATTAATAGTATTTAAGAGGAAAAAACCCATTATGGAACCAAAATTACTCCAAGCAACCCTTTGAACCACAATCTTCTTCAAGATTGATATTTCATAAAGAGGGATGGGGAAATGTGAAGTTTAATCTGTAATCCAATTCAATGTAAATGTGATTTGTCAACTCAAAAGCTTTGAACTAGTACAAGCAGGACAAAAATATACTTTAAAATTTGGTGAAATGGTAATCTAATTTCAGTTTTTCAGGACTTGGGAAAACGCTAAGAGAAAAGATTTCAAAAACAAAAAGTTTTGCTAGAGATTTATTAAGAAGAATTATTATCAAAACAATTCATTTGTCATGTCCTGAGTGATCTAGGTCAAAGCTGGATATCAGATCAAATAAAAATTGACACACTTGCACCGGAACTGGAAAAGGGTAATCAGTCAAACCTGGAAATACATGCCCCTTATCCTTATTACACTAGAGTAAAAAAAAAGCTTACCACTTGCTGGCATACAACTAATTTGTCATGGAAACAACCACGCCTGTTTCTTCATTGATAAATAGCGATCCAGTAAAACATGTCCGAACAATATAATCCCAGAATAGTTAAATTAGCTCCTGGGCCACATACCCTAAAAATCTAAACCATCACTATTTTCAGTGGAGTCCTCTTAAACCGATCATGGTTATTCCGTAAATAGAGGTAAATTAAAAGAAAAAGGAATCCACGACTCTGTCGGACTCTTGCCTTCTTCCTCTTTGTACGTAAAAAAGCTGTCGATTTGACGAAATGCTGTTATTTCTAAACCAAAAAGAATTTGGATTTGGAGGGTGGTGTCTTCTAAAACTTCTTTACCAATCCTCATGTAACGCAAATCACCAAGTCTTCCACACTTCACATAGGCCCTATACATGAGCAATTGACAGTAGAAGACGTGTTTCATGACATCAATAGCACTGGCCTTTCTCATTTCCCTAGCCCAGCACAAAGAACAGTACAGCGTGCACATCTGCTCTTTTGTCTGTTCTTTGACTATTCCATCAGCTTAAGCAAGCTGGCAATTTCAAAGAGAAGGTTCAAAGAGAACAAACTTGCAGTTCAAATTCAGGTACTAAAAGAGGAGACTGAAGAAAACCAAATGTGAAATTTTCCGCAAACATGACCTCTAACTTCACCCTAGCAATAAAAATTGTGTTGCTGATTTTTTTCCCCCTTCTCCGGTGCAAGTGCATACTTATGTAGATAATGATACAAAAAATTTGTACATACCTCAGCTAATGCCTTGTCAAAGAGCTCTTTATCACGCTTACCCGTAAAAGGGTACATAGCATGAGCCTCACGCATATTGCGCTGGTGAAGAAAAAAACATAGGCTATGAATGCTACATTCTCACTGAACTTTTTCGATCCACTGGAATCATAATACATTCTTTTTACAAAATCACAGGTGTTAACTAGCAACAATAACAAAAATGTTTAAATCCTGAACTTTTCTGAAAATAAAAATGAGGTAGTCATTAAAAAAATCGAATTTTTTCCTCCCAGCTCCCGACAAAATATTTTTCAACCTTATGAGTGTTAACAAATTGTATACATTAAGTGGTTAAGACAGAATTTCGTCCAACATTTTATAAAGCTGGAACCAATGAACACACACATAAGATTTTGTACAACTTAGGCAATTCAGTCTATTTTTACACACAACACATTGCTATAAAAATGTTCCCTTGCCATTAAAAAAAAACCCTGATCTGGGCAAGTTGAAAGGCAAGAACATCATCAACTGTCAAAACCATCTGACTTTGAGCATGCACGGTTAAAATTCAATGTTGTTGACCAGACTGATAACAAACCCAACAGATGAACTCGGGCAGAGCTGTTGTTTCTGACGTGAAAGCGAATAACACTTGTACTTGTAATGCACAAACCCCATGATTTTAGCTAGAGCCTCTAACAGAACAAAGCAGCAAAGTAAGGAAAATTGTATGCCGTAGTCTGGGGTAGCAGGGTCCATGAACATGGATAGTTTCAGAAGGCGAAGCCTTTAAAAAAAATTGAAATTCTGTGCATAGAGGGATGGAAATGGCATTTTTAGAGGGTTCGAAATGGCAATTGGAAGCCTGTTTAACTGTTTGAAGAGATTGCCAACAATTTATAAGAACCTATTTTTTCACTAAATTTGTCTTGTCTAATTTGATTTCACCATCTGCATCTTAAAAAATATATGTTGAAACCATTGGACAAACTTTAAATTTAACACCTGAAAGTCCCCCTTTCCATTGCCACGCCAATATAATTCAATTTGTCAACTGACCACTGACAGTAGGAAAATCCAGAAACATCAATACAATCACCCAGCGTGCACTACTTACTGCCATTTTCGACTTCGAATATGCAACCTCAAAGTATCACTTCCATAATCATAAATTCTTCGCATTAGTTTCTTTCACTGCTGCTTCATAGTTGGTTTAAGGAGGCAAAACTTTGCCACTGTACTCAAAGTGCAGCAACCGGCTTGTTCACTTTTCTAATAAAATGTTCCCACTTCCATCACACCTGCTTATCTAGGTGTAATTCACTCAAGGAACCAGGAATGTTAAACAAATAGTACAGTCATGATTAGCAAAAACTGATTTCGCTGACCTTGAAAGGGTGGGTTGGCAAAATCTAGAGAACAAAACTTCTTTCCACCAGTCTTTCTTGGGTCAATTTGCAACTTACTTAAAATATCATTAACACAGTCTCTGCTGTTTTATTCAAATTCCTGGGGCATTCTCTGGGCCTGGCAGCGACCCTGATATAGCTCTATATTCTCATCCCATGATATCTTTGATGGTGACAGGAGTACATGACACAGACTAAAGTAATATTTCAGTACAAATATAAAGCGGCGATGAACTTGTGTGCACGCACACATACATACAAAAAAAGCACAAGACCTTACCAAGAAAGTTAAATGCTGATCTGTTCCTTTTCTATAATACATTTCAAGCTCTTCTTGTTGGGCACGGGTCAACCCTGAGGAGAAAAAAAGTGGTCAGGTCAATTAGTATTGGTTAAAATTGTCAAAATCCAAAATCCAAAAACCACCCACCTCCTCCTGATTAGAGGTTCAGTTGAATACAAGGCAGGTAATATAGCTAGTTGGGTGTTGAATCTTTTCCCCCCCAAAAAAATCCGCTTTTGAAAGTGCTGATCAGTTAAATCTTATACAAATTTCAAACTTTCGTTATATCTGATCTAAAAATGTCTTTCTAATGCTTTTAGGGGGTCTAGCAAACCAGAAAAGCTACACATCTTTTGAAGCAAAACTTTCCCAAAATTTGCAGTACCCTCTGATGAACTTTTAAAATGCTTTTAAAGTTGCAAGCCCAATGCTATAAAATACCAGCAGCCATTTTGAACTTTTACGACACAGGACAATCCTGAAATTTTGAAAACCAAAAGGCATTAAACATTGTTTTTTTTTTTTTTGATAGACAACAAGTAAGTAGGTAATGGTACCTTGCTAGTAATTTTGAATTCAATATGCTTTCAATATTCCGACATGTAAATTTTCAATACAGAATTTTTACAAGTAACTGATATTTTAATTTTAGGATATGAGTAATAAAGGGTTTTCTATCAAAAGTATTCAAAAAAAATGCATTATTTAAAAAATCTCACTCTGTGCTATTTTATGGTAAGGTTTGTTTCATTTAAGACCAATTTTTACTTATTTAAGAAAGTTATTGATAATGGACCAAAGAATCTTGATTCAGCAATGTTTAAAAAGCTTAAAATGCTGGGGGTTTAAAAAAAATAAAATTGATAAAATTGTCGGCCACTGGCCCAAGATTGCTTTTTAACTGTTTAATCAAAGAATGACATTTCCTTGAAACTGGTCACCAAAAATTGCGGAGAATGTGAACAAGTAAAAAACACTGAAAAAAATAATAAATGGCCAAAATAGCAATTCAGAAGGCTACATCTCTTTAGACACAACATATATAAAATTTGACTAAGAAGTAAAAAGGAGTTTCTGTTGCCACTAAAGATGGGCGCATTGAACTTTTGTTCCTTTTCTGAATATACAGTTTTTGGGCAAATTGTTTAGGCTAGACATATAGGCCGGTAAAATTATTTGATGGATTTCACAAAACATGAAATTCATAAAACTGGTACACATATTCACCTCTTTTTATCTCAACTTGACATCAACAAGATGACATATATTTCGGAATCACTTTATTTTTAAATGGTGACCCTGACAAAATACCTCCTTTTATTCAAAACTGCTGTGAAGAAAAAAAAGGCGTTTTGTCAGCTTACGGTAGTATAGGCAATACATACATCATTTAACATTAGGTCCATTTTCTGCTTGTACCACTTCCATGATCATGTCTGATTAATCATAGTCTTTACTTTCTGAACCTTCGTTTTGGAAAAAATCTCAACTTACCTGACGGGTCACCCGTTCCTTCTAATGAAGAACCTGCATACATATCAGAATGGTGGGATGATGAAGGAGCACTTGGGAAGTTAGAGGAAGGATTTTGATGAAGCATCACAGGATAAGCTGATTGACCCGGCATTTTCCCCCCCCTACCAGGACCTGAAAGACAAAGGGAGAAAAATTTCATTGAAAAAACAATCCATTAGCTTTTTTCTGTTCTCATTCCATACGTCTCTGAAGAAACTTACGAAGTGTAAAGTCATGGTCATGAATGGCACGATCAGAACAAGACAATGATTCAGTTGTCGGAGGAAGCAAAATACAGTATAACACAGATTGCTCGAATTTGTTGGGACAGGTGTCGGTAGTTTGAGGAATACGTAAACAGTGTTTTGGCATCAACTGTGTCAGAGAATCGAGGGAAGCAGCAAAGATTGGGTCGGTACAGAGACTTTTCTTTTCTCGGCCATTGTCCTTGATCACATAGGTTTGATCTATGCCTATAAACTTGAATTTGAAATTTGAGAGAATCTGAAATTGACAGATTGAGAATGAGAAACACAATGAGCTACGCTATCGAGTTCGATAGGTATTGAACCTACCGGTACCAAGACAGTTTAAAATTGCGCGGGTCAGTGTGAGTGGTCTTTAGTCTGCACCAATCAAAACGGTGCCTTTAACTTTTCAAAATTTTCAAAAACTAACAATTTGACTAGATCATATCGCTACAGCTAGGCCTAGGACCTAGGCACGCGCAGTAGGCAGGCGTGTTGAACAGACCAGCGCGCTACTAAAAATAGCACAGCTAGCTGCTTCTGTGGAAAGGGGTGGTATTTTACAGACCTAGTCTTTTTCCATTTTTATCATTACTATCATTATTATTCAGACTGAAGTGCACCTCAAATGATCTGACTTTGAACCTCTATGGCAGCGTAATTAGTGCAACAATTTTTTGTAAAAAACGAGATCGCAGGCAAAGTCCGTTGAATAAGTGATTTCCAGTAATCTGTGTGCGACGTATCTAGGTTATACTGTACTACCGTTTAAAAGAATAAATACCTCAATATTAATTAATTTTCAAAGTAAAAGCTCTAAAAATTCAGAGTTTCTTGCCACATCAATGATCTTGAAAATGACACAAATAATCAAGCAATTTTTATTTTTATTTAATACAGGTTTTACGGCACTCGTAACTGCATAAGGTCATATAAGCGCCAAGGGGTGGATGTCAACAGAGAAGTCATTACAGGGAATCAGGCTTACTCTGCTCACCTCTCTAGCTTCAACAGCACAAAGTCTGTTTCGACTTTCAAGGTACCCCGGAAATAGCGGGTCACAAGAGTCTGACAAACATAAAAAAGAAGTAGAGGAGAAATGACAATAGTAAGGATTTACAAAGAAAAAGCAGCAGTTCCCTGTTGTAGATCAGGCACAGTTAGGAGCGTGACATTGATGAATCAGCCCATTTACAATTCTACTGTGCATGAACAAGAAATGTCCTGCCTTTGGGAATGGCCTAAAGACACTTCAGTCAGTGGCCAAGCATTTTCACATTTTAACTTGCAAGTTCACAATTCAATACCATAGCAAATATTCTTTGGGAAAAAAGCCTGGCAACTTACAAAAATTCAGATCAAAGTAAAATTACTCCAGAAACAAAAAGAGAAGTTGAGAATTAGGCGAAGCAAAAAAAACAACAACAACAAAAAAAAGAAAGATCCCGGAAATAATTTTTGATCATCAGACTTAAAGTGAGGTAAAAACTACATTCACACCCACATTCAGATGCACTGTTTTTAGGAAAAACTGACATATATTTTTTAATGCAGACAGCTATAGCTGTTAACACCATTTCGTTGTAAGTCAATTATTGCTTCTAAGTAAATCACAAAATAATTGCAAAACATCAAATTATGTTGAAATATTGGGGGGCATGTCCACCCCCCTAGTTCAAATTACCAGAGATGCAATCATGAAGTTTGAGGAATTTTCAAGGATCTACCCTCAACTGTAATTGACTCAGTCCAGTCAGTGTTACAAACAGGTTTTGATCCGAGATCACGCCTCTTATATTATATATACTATAACAGTGCAGAGGTTAACCCCTACCCAATTACCCAGTCGATACACAATAACATGGGCAAAATTGACCAAAATTACATTGTTACTTTGGATCAACATTGAAAAAGATAGCAACCATTCAAGCTTTCACAGTTTAATGAGCATCTCGCATTGACCTAAATGTTTAAGGTGCATGCTATAAATCCATTTTTTAAAACCCGCTTTACACTAGTGTAACATTAAAGAAAACGTGTCGGAACCATAGTCATAGTTTGCAGTGACCTTTATAAATAAATGGGCAGCAATGGTTACTTTACTGTTGGTCATCCAATATTAGACCTCTTTGCAAAGATCTGAGTAGTTGCTTTGTTTTAACCACGGTCAGACGAAAGTGAACAAGCTATAAATAATAAAATCAATCTCGCACGAAAGAAAGACGACGGAAAGTAATTAAAGATAAGGACAAAAAGAAAAATTTTCGCCATCTGCAGCAAACAACCCCTTCCACTAGTACGGTGTAATGAATCAAATCACTGGTAGCTTACCTGATGTTTGACTGTTCCCTGAATACGCACAGCTGCTCTGCTGGCCGGACATATATTCTTCTTTTACAATACTGATATCAGGGTCTATAACTGGTTTTTGGTCAACATCTTGGGAGGAATTTTGTTCTGGGTTCAAAAAATTTGAGGAATAATTGTCATCATCTTCACCACCTGACTGAAAGACATTGGAACCATCATAGTCATCTCCAGCACTATTTTTTGGACTAGGGGGAATATCGCTTCTTCCCATTTTGCCCAGCCCTCCTGAATCTTGATACCGTGGAGACTGTGGCATGCCATGTTTTCCTGAATTTCCCATGAAACCTCTGCCCATATTCCCTCTCCGTTGCAGAGGTGATCCCGGTCGTTTGGAACCAGGAGAGTAAGAAGAGTCTTGTTGCCCCCTTGAAGGAGTTCTGTAAGACCCTATAGTGCCAACATTTGTACTGTTTGGCACTGTCTGACCCGTTTCATCCACAGTTTCATCATTTTGCTTGTCACTTTCTGCTGCCTTTTTGGGTGGCTTTGGTTTCTCAGCAGGCTGTGCATGAAAACTGTTGCTGATGAATGTCACAGAGTTGTCATTCTTGCAAACTTTTTCATTGAGAACGTAGTCTATTTTTCTGCCTGTATCACTATCAACATTCAAATAAATATGGCCAATAACTTCAACGCCCTTGTCGAATTCAACATAGCCATTGCATAGCGATTGAAGAAATTTTGCAAGAGATGCAATGAACTTGGAAGATGAATCAAAATCCATGATTGTCCAAAGTGAAGGCCACCCAACACACTATCTGGGGGAGAAATAAAATAAAACAAAATTCAATGTACAGCTTCTTGTTGCAGTGAATAAAAAATCAATTCTACAAATATTTCTTTAACGGCTGGTTATCTTAACATCACCACAACATACCATTTAAATTCAAGGGTAGACTAAGGTGACATCTAAATTAAAAAAGGAGATTTGGAAAGAAATCAGACTACAAAGAAAACTGCTGAAACTATAAAGTCTATACAAACAAACAACAACATAGCCCATAAAATGCAAAAAGCTTGAACCTAAAAGTATGCGAACAATGCATGCAATAACAAGTTTCATTAAATAGCTAATGTTTCACATTTTCCATCTTGAAACTAACCGAGATGAGACGGCTCAGATGGCCATGAATAATCTTTTTCCCTGAGGTGTCAAGAGCAAGGATTTGTACGTTTCTGGATTAATGTAGCGCAAACAAGGTATCTGAAAGAGGTCTGTGTCTGTGGGCTTGTCGCTGTCAGGGGGTGGGTGGTCCTTTGTTACAATCAGCTTGACTTGACTTTGCAAAAAATAAAGAAACCACTATGTCATATGCCTTCGATCCTGACTGCCCCTTACTATAAACATTGCTCTGCTGATTTGCGTAAAATTTCACAGCATTCTTTTACTTTCACTTTCCCTCCCGTTTCACATTTAGCTACTGTGCCCATTTTCTACTACATAAAAGTCAAAAAAACCGATTTTTAAAATTTAAATCAGATTTTTTAATTTTAAATCGGATTTTTTTTTTTTTAATGTCGACAGTTTGGGATTTTTGGTGGCTAAAAGTATGTTCTTTTGGTGCAAAATGCATTGTCTTTATTTCAAATAATGATTAATGTAAGCAACTGCAAAAGAAAGCCTTAATCTGCTATATCAGTGAATTATGGCTACAGAAAAATGAAGAAAAAAATGTCCGTCTAAAAGGAAGGGGGGAGGGTAATTATGCATAGATAAACTTGCATTTTATTACAGTGTGTCGTGTGTGTGTGCGTGCACTCGTATTGGTCTAAAAAGAAAAAGCTAATTTCAATTGTGAAAAAAAGTAAATTGAATTCTGTATTATTTTACAGTGACAGGGGGGGGAAGTAGACTTTTAAGCATGATTATATTAGTCTACTAAACCTTATATCTGTTTTATGAAACCAAGGAAAGGAATTCTGAATGTTTAAATATGTAAAAAAAACCAGAATACACTTTTTAAAGCGATTTAAATCACTGAGTTTTAATCTTAAAATCAAGTTGATTTAAATCAAGAAAATCAACTGATTTAAATCGACCTGATTTAAATCAACCTGATTTAAATCAACCCAAGAGTGATTTCAATTATGAAAAAAAAAGTAAATTGAATACTGTATTATTTACAGTGACAGGGGGGAAAGTAAACTTTTAAGCATGATTATATTAGACACTATAACTAGTAAAATGTACAGAAGTATCGAAAACGGCGAAATTATGTGATTCTTGTTCATGCAACTTCTTCGACCGTTACTACGACGCGACTGTCGGATTACTATCAGCTGAATAGAAAAAAACAAAGCGCGAGTTCCGGTCAGTTCAACCCCAGTTGGGGTCACTGTCCTTCACCTTCAATAACTTAAAAACTACGGGTCCCAGAGATACGAAACGAAGTCTAAGTAGCTCAGGCTTGGCCAAACAAGGGTACGAGGCGGGTCCCGCGATCCGTGCGTGATTTGTAGAGCGGAAAAAAAATTCCAAAGTTGGTCACGCAAGGCTTGTGGGAGCCGTCACGAGCGTCCAGCGGGGGTCACGTAACTGTTGTGTGAACCACCGGAAGAGAGTTAATAAAACCAAGGAAAGGAATTCTGAATGTTTAAATATGTAAAAACAGAATACATTTTTTAAAAAGTGATTTAAATCACTGATTTTTATTTTAAAAATCAAGTTTATTTTAAAAATCAAGTTGATTAAAATAAAAATAATAAACTGATTTAAATCAACCCAGCTGTGATTTCAATTATAATGGGGGGAAAAAAGTAAATTGAATACTGTATCATTTTACAGTGAGAGGGGGGAAAGCAGACTTTTAAGCATAATTATATATATTAGATCTAGTCTACTAAACCTTGAAACCAAGGAAAGAAATTCTGAACATTGAAATATGTAAAAACTGAATAAAAATAATTTTTTTTAAAAAGTGATTTAAATCACTGATTTTTATTTTAAAAATCAAGTTGATTTAAATTTTAAAAATCAACTGATTTAAATCAACCCAACCCTGATTATTAGTAGTCTCCGCCTAAACACACGCCATTTCATACAAAAGCACGCTCTGCTCAAACGCAGGCTTTTGCCATCTGACAGGTTTTTTACAAGATAATTTAGACAAACGCACGGTCACTCCCTCTAAATGCACGCTCCGAACAGGTAAAGCTTGACAAGGGGAAATTTTCACCACAGCTTGCATAAGACAAGCCTAGACAATCGGATATTTGGTGAGACTGCCCCTCACGCCGAACAAAGAGAGTGATAGAGAGCGTTTTCACATAGGTCTAGGACTGGTCAGTGAAATGGGGGGTTGGGGGTTAGCATTTATTAGCATTAGCACGGGTTTGAATACTGCTCAATATTTCCAGACCCAGCATAAAATTGTAGAAGTGTACTAGATCTACTTAGGCAAGATCTGCCAGTGTATGTGTCTAATTCTCACCCCAGGTTTAGAGGTCGGCCTTCATCCTGCATTACATCTATCATCTATAAAATTAAATCATCTAAAATCTAGATAGATAGGAAAGATGAGAAGTGACCCGAATAACAATAAAAAAAACTATTCCCACAACGGGTAGAAATACTCCCTTCCTTTTTCATGAAAAAAAATCAGGTTGCATTTTCAATTTTCAAACTCCTTCTGTTGCAAACCTTTTTAGTTAGCCTAGAAATCCAGATCTACATTTTTAAGGCCTACAACATAGCAATGCCAATCGGGCTTTCCCGCGAGGCGAAAATTTGGTCCCCGTTTACGGGCGATTTTGCGGACCCGGCCGAAGCGTAGGTGACTAACTTTGTCAACCTCGGTCTGCTCTATTTCCAAACCAATCCGAATGAAACTCGGCAACCAATCAGAAAATAGGGCAAACTAATGATATGTGGACGTTGAAGTTCGTACACATAAATTAACCTATACTTTTGGTGTCGGGAACACTTTCGTATCGTGTACACCGAAAACTATAAGGAGTTTGAATTTCAACGCCGAGATGTTTCAACGCCGAGATGGTAATAGATCTATCTCTATCCTCTATAGTGTGCTCAAATTTGAACGTTCTGTGTCAAGTAGTTGTTTAGACCCGATCATAAATGCACGACTACCCCCCCTATCCAAAGCGGCCATTTTCCCCTCACTCTCGTGGCAAATGTATGTGACCTACAAATCCCCGCATGACTATTCCGGGCCCATTCATTGGTCACTTGAAATAGGGCAATGGCGGGCGCACGCATCCGGTTGTTTTTCTCTCCATCCCCCTGTAACATCGCAATGGGGGTATTCCGAGGCGAGGTATCTCGTCTCGGGGTGTTCGCGTCTCAACGGGGGAAAATTTTTTTTTATTGTACGGCATGCTAGATTGAATTAACTTATCTTTTACGTTTGGCATGGTCTAAAGTCATCATAAAAAGCTTTGCAATTATTTAGTCACGCTGCCGACATATATTCTTAAAGATCCCATGTTGTGATACGATGCTATAAATAAAATGGACTCATCCCAACACCCCTTTTTCACAAATTTAATCGTAATATGTACACCAAAATTTTAATTATAACAAAATAACTACGAAATTGATAGTAAATCTGACTGCAGAAATGATTTCTACACTCAAAAACACATCGGGTAGCCAAGTTTCTATCGAACACTCCGATTAGTTACCGAGATATCGTTGATTTTCTTACAGAATCTGCTACTGCGTCGTCCACTTTTTATATAGTAAATCTGACTGCAGAAATGATTTCTACACTCAAAAACACATCGGGTAGCCAAGTTTCTCTCAGACACTCCGATTAGTTACCGAGATATCGTCGATTTTCTTACAGAATCTGCTACTGCGTGGTCCACTTTTTAGGAGTATTTTCCTATAGGGAGTGTATACAGACCCGGTAACCGGGAACAAAGTCACAAAGTATACAGACCCGGTAGGGGAACTCTTGTGATTTCGGAAAGTTTCAGCTCCCTCTTGGCCTAGGCCTCCCAATTACACATCTGGGGGCCTAGCTCTTGGCTCAGGGACTTAGGGTAGGCCAAGGAGTTTACAGTAAAAGCCACTTGGGGTAGGCCTAGACCTAGGTTCTACTAGCTGTATTCTATGGCCTAGGTCTAGATCTAGACAGACAGACATAAATCATTGGTAAATTTTTACTTTCACTCCCGCACACAGATGCACTGTTTCAGGGGTCAAACTGCTGTATTTTCTTACTTTTTGGTATTTTCTTACTTTTTTGTACTGTTTGCTGCAGATCACACATAAAGCCACTAAAACTGTCGCAAAGCAATTATTTTCAAGACAATTTCAAATCTAACTGTAAAATATCAAACTATGGGTAAAAACAGGGGGGCATGCCCCCCTGTAACCCCCCAGATTTTCTTTTACCCCAGTGGGGCAGGCCCTCCTGGAACTCCCCGATTGGTCCAAAGCATGTCTATCTCGGTTAAAAACAATCAAATATTTCACAAAAACTATTAATTTGCGACGGAAATGAAGTTGATATTCGTGTTCAGCGCATCAATATTTAGTACAAAATAGACAATTGGTAGCTGAGTGTGAGACGGGAGGGAAAGTAAAAAAATACCAAATCATTAATCTAGTTGCGAGGTTAGCCTAGATCTAGATCTAAATGAAGATTGCGGATGTCTTTTCGATGAACGATTTTCTTCCGTTTTTGAAGTTGGAGGAATCACAATTCACAATTGGAAGAAAAGAACGAAGTCATAATTTCAATCGAGCAGTCACCCCCCCCCCCCCCCTCTCTCTCTCTCTCTCTCACACACA